AGTGAGAGGCCCACGTACTGAAAAAAAAAAAAAAAAAAAAAAAAAAATAGCAGCCTTCTGGGCTTTTCACCTACATGTTTATAGCGTATTGCCCATATAAGTGTGGGCTCATTTCTGGCCTCTCTGTTCTGGTCCATTGAGCTATATGTCTGTTTTTGTGCCAGTACCATACTTCTTTGATTACTGTAGCTTTGTAGTATAATCTGAAGTCAGAGAGCATGATACCTCCAGCTTTGTTCTTCTTTCTCAAGATTGTTTTGGCTATTTTGGACCTTTTGTGCTTCCATATACATTTTAGAATTATTGGTGGGCCAGGCTGGGGCCCACAGGATCCTGGGGCTCATGCCCACCCACTGGTGGGTGAGTCTGGGTCCTAGGCCTAGTTCTGGCCCACTGGTGGGCAGAGCTGGATCCTGGGGTCTCTGGCTGTAGGACCTTGCGTGTCCCAGGGTTGGTGTGTTGGCCCGCTGGTGGGTTGGACCAGGGCCCTGGGGTCCTGGGGCTGTTGCCTGCCCACTGGTGGGTGAGGCTGGTCCCAGGGCTAATGCTGGTACACTGGTGTGTGCAGCCAGGTCCTGGGGCAGCTGTGGGCTCAGGGGTTCTTAAGGCAGCCAGCCTGCTGATGGGTGAGGTTGCCTCCCTGCCTGGCCAGTAGCTTGGCCTGAGGCGTCCCAGTAGTGATGTCAAAAGGCTGATGGGCAGGGCTGGTTCCCAGTGCTAATGAACTAGAGGAAGGACTCCAAAAGGGCACTTGCCAGCACCACTGTCCTTGTGGTAGAACGAGAGTCCCTGAATGGCTCCCATCAGTTATGTCCCCAGGGTGAGCTCCAGGGGACTCCTGCCTCTCTAGAAGGTTCTCCAAGATAAGTAGGTGTGTCTGACCCAGGCTCTTTTCAAATTACTGCTTCTGCCCTGGGTCCTGGATGTGTGAGATTTTGTGTAGATTTTTAAGAGTGGTGTCTCTATTTCCCACAGCCCTCTGGTTCTCCTGAACTTAAGCCCTACTGGCCTTCAAAGCCAAACATTCTGGGAGCTCATCTTCCTGGTGTAGGACCTCCACGCTGGGGATCCCAATGTGGGGCTCAGATTCCTCACTCCCTGGGGAGAACCTCTGCAAACTGTAATTATCCTCCTATTTGTGGGTCACCCACCTGGTGTTATGTGGTCTCAACTGTACCACATCTCTGCCCCTCCTACCTGCCTTGTGGTTCCTTCTTTATATCTTTAGTTGTAGATCTTTTTCTGCTAATCTTCTGGTCTTTCTCATCTATAGTTGCTCTGTAAATAGTTGTGATTTTGGTGTGTCAGTGGGAGGGGTTGAGCTCAGGATCTTCTTACTTCACCATCTTGGCCACACCTTCTTTAATCCCTGTGTTTTCTTTTAGGAGTTTTACACTTTCAGGTCCTAGGTTTATGTCTTTAATTCATTTTGAGTTGATTTTTTTGTATGGTGTAAGATAAGGGTTCAACTTCATTCTTTTGCATGTGGATATCCAGTTTTTCCAACACCATTTGTTAAAGGGACTATCCTTCCCCTATTGTGTATTCTTGGCACTCTCGTCAAAAATCTGTTTACTGTATATGTATGGATTTATTTCTGGAGTCTATTCTGTTCCATTGACCTATATGTCTGTCTTTATGCCAGTATTATATTGTTTTAATTATTTTAGCTTTGTGACATATTTTGAAATCAAAAAGTTTGATGCCTCCAACTTTCATCTTTTTCAAGATTATTTTGGTTATCTGGGGTCCTTTGGGATCCATATTAATTTTTATTTATTTATTTATTTAAATTGAGGTATAGTTGATTTACAATACTGCATTAGTTTCAGGTGTACAGCAGAGTGACTCAGTTATACATGTAAATGTATATATCTGTATTCTTTTTTTTCAATTCATTTCCATTATAGTTTATTACAAGATATTGAACATAGTTCCCTGTGCTATACAGTAAATCCTTGTTGTTTATCTATTTTATATATAGTAGTGGGCATCTGTTAATCCCATACTCCCAACTTATCCCTCCCCCCTCTTCCCCTTTGGTAACCATATGTTTGTTTTTTATGTCTGTGAGCCTGTTCCTGTTTTGTAAATAAGTTCACCTGTACTTTTTTTTAGATTCCACGTATGTGATATGGTATAATATTTGTCTTTGTCTGACTTACTTCACTTAGTATGATAATCTCTAGGTCCATACATGTTGCTGCAAATGGCATTATTTCATTCTTTTTTATGGCTGAGTAATATTCCCTTGTATATATATTTACCACATTTTCTTTATCCATTCATCTGTCAATGGACATTTAGGTTGCTTCCATGTCTTGGCTATTGTATATAGTGCTGCTGTGAACATTGCAGTGCCTGTATCTTTTCTAATTAGAGTTTTCTCTGGATATATGCCCAGGAGTGGGATTGCTGGATCACATGGTACCTCTATTTTTAGTTTTTTAAGGAGCCTCCATACTGTTTTCCATAGTGACTGTACCAATTTACATTCCCACCAACAGTGTGTAGGAGGGTTCCCTTTTCTCCATACCCTCTCCAGCATTTATTATTTGTAGACTTGTTTTACAATGGCCATTCTGACTGGTGTGAGGTGATACCTCATTGTAGTTTTGATTTGCATTTCTCTAATAATTAGGGACGTTGAGCATCTTTTCGTGTGCCTGTTGGCCATCTGTATGTCTTCTTTGGAGAAATGTCTATTTAGGTCTTCTGCCCAGTTTTTAATCAGATTGTTTGTTTTTTTGATGTTGAGCTGTATGAGCTGTTTGTGTATTTTGGAAATTAAGCCTTGTCGGTTGCATCATTTGCAAATATTTTCTCCCAATCTGTAGGTTGTCTTTTTGTTTTGTTTATGGTTTCCCTTGCTGTGCAAAAGTTTATAAGTTTGATTAGGTCCCATTTGTTTACTTTTGCTTTTATTTCTATTGCCTTGGGAGACTGATCTAAGAAAACACTCCTACAGTTTATATCAGAGAATGTTTTACCAATGTTCTCTTCTAGGAGTTTTATGGTGTCATGTCTTATATTTAAGTCTTTAAGCCATTTTGAGTTTATTTTTGTGTATGGTGTGAGGGAGTGTTCTAAATTCATTGATTTACATTCCATATGAATGTTTTAATTGTTTTTAGTAAAATTTTAAATTCTTTTACATTGGCATTTTTCTTTTTTTTTCTTTTTTTTTTGTTTTTTGCTGTACGCGGGCCTCTCACTGTTGTGGCCTCTCCCGTTGCGGAGTACAGGCTCCAGACGCACAGGCTCAGCGGCCATGGCTTACGGGCCCAGCCGCTCCGCGGCATGTGGGATCTTCCTGGACTGGGGCACGAACCCGCGTCCCCTGCATCGGCAGGCGGACTCTCAACCACTGCACCACCAGGGAAGCCCTACATTGGCATTTTGATAAGGATTGCATTGAATCTCTGTAGATCATTTTGGGTAATGTGGATATTTTGACAATATTAAGTTTTCCAATCCATGAGCATGGGATGTCTTTCCATTTGTATGCGTCTTCTTTAATTTCTTTTATCAATGTTTTATAGTTTTTCAGCATACAAATCTTTTACTCCCTTAGTTAAGCTTATTCCTAAGTAGTTTACTCTTTTTGATGGTATTATAAATTGGATTGTTTTCCTAATATCCTTTTCAGATAGTTTGTTGTTAGTGTATAGAAATGCAAGTGACTTTTGTTTGTTAATTTTGTATCCCTCAGCTTTCCTGAATTCCTTTATTATTCTAACATTTTTTGTGTGGAGTCTAGAGTTTTCAATATATATAAGATTATGCCATTTGAAAACAGCGACAGTTTTACTTTTTTCTTTCCAATCTAGATGCCTTTTCTTTCTAATTGCTCTGGCTAGGACTGCCAATACTATGTTGAATGGAAGTTGTGAGAGTGGGCATCATTGCCTGGCTCCTGATCTTAGAGGAATGCTTTCAATTTTTACCTTTGATTATGTTAGCTATGGGCTTTTCATATGTAGCCTTTTCTATGTTGAGATAATTTCTCTCAGTTCCTAGTTTGTTGAAAGTTTTTATTATGAAAGTGTGTTGAATTTTATCAAAAGCTTTTTCTGCATCTATTGAGATGAGCATGTGATTTTTTAATCTTTCATTCTGTAATGTGGTATATCATATTAACTAATTTTTGTATGTTGAACCATCCTTGCATCCCAGCGATAAATCTCACTTGGTCATGGTGCATAATGGTAATATTTTTGAGAGAATCCTAAGCATTACATTGTCATGCACATGATAATTTGCTGTTGAACCTTAGATGTTTTTATATTGCCAAATATCTGTAACCTCAAATTTGAAAGAATTCATTAAAATATAGAATATTTAAAAGAGAAAAGTCTTACAACTTATTTTAGCTATGTTCTTGAAGGCCTCTTGCTTTAAAACCCCAAGAATATGTATTTACATGTTATAAGTAAACTTTTCATTTAAATCTATGTTAGTATTTAATTTGTATGATGGAAAACAATTTGTTTTTCTGTATTTTGTATCCTGAATCTGGTGTAGCATCTTACTTTCATCAGCACTGTTGAAAAAAGAAGAAAAAATGCCAATGCTGCCTCCTGAAATCAAATTTGAACCTTCTAATGTCACCAGAAGTTCCCTTGACAGTTGTTTTCTTTTTGAGAGGAGTTGGAGGAAAGCAGTTTTAGAAACACAAAAGATGAAGAAAGGTAACTTCATTTTATTCTTATTTTACTTACAAAAATATAGAAGTAGTACCTTGAATTTACATGTACTTTTTTAATCAGTCAAGAGACATTAAATAATTTTTTTAACATTTAGGTAAGAAGGATAATACCGTAGGCTTATGGAAAAGAAAAATGGAAGCAGATTAGGAATAATTTACTTAAGGTAATTCTATAACTCGTGATAAAAAACAAATTCTAAAGAACTACTCTTGATATCAGTGTAGTGCTACCTCTGTTGGATCATACTTCTTTTTGTAAGTCATGTTTGTTTTAAAATACCTCAAGTTGGTATTTATATTTTAAGAAACCCAAATCTTTAACAGCACCTTTTTGTATTAATAATTCTAACCCAAACTTTGTTTTTTGAGTGAGCTATGTGGAAAGTATCTTATATCTTATAGTTGCTCAATAAAGACTAATTTCAGAACTTTTGACTTGTATACGAGTGTAATAACTTTCCCCCTTAATTTCAAATTATAATTGTATTTCTTGTTTATACTGAATTTTGCCTTTGGCTTTATTAATGGAGATAGAATTCTTGAAAACAGCAAAATTCAAACTCCCCAGCCATTTAATCACTCCTGGTTTTGAGTGTGTTACTGTATTTTTTCGACATTTTTACTAGATTCCTATTAAAAATACACCAGTTTATCTGTTCTCCTACCTCCAAATCTAATTACTGAAAAGAAACTCTACATGATTTTGATCAAGAGAAACTATTTTTTCCGAAAAAGAATAATCAAAGGTTGAAAAATAGCATTTTGAGCATTTAATATTACTCTAGTCCCATTAAATACTATTTCTATTGCTATGCTAGATTTACTTAGTAGAGAAAGCTTCGAAAACAATTCTCTATGTTTAAAAATCATCCAAACCTTTAATCACTTAATCTTCTTTTTCCATTTACTGTCTTCATTTTGAAGTTTTTTTTTAAAAAAAGAATAATTTGAACATCTTATACCAGTGATACCTGAGGTCAGTAGAAGAAGCCCTCCTGATGCTTCAGATGTTGCTGTTTATAGATTTGATGTGGGATTTTGCAGAGTGAAAGTTAAAATCAATGCCTGAAATGGAATTCTTTTCTCTCTCACTGCTAGCTCCGATAATCATGTATTTTCACCTCTTGATTTCTACACAAAAGCAGGAAGGTGAGAAAGGATTTAAAGTAGCAGATATTACAAGATTCTTGAAAGTGCTTTTAATCTGTCTTTCAATGTGAATGTATCTAATGTTCTGGGAATTCCGATTAAATAAAATAATGAAGAACAGTGATGACGATGGGAGATCTGTGAAGCTGCCCTCCTTCCTTCTTCTAATAGTTCTTAGCCCCTTAATCAGCTCTTGCTGATTAAGTCCCTATCCTCGGAATTGAAAGGTATTCTCTTGGGAAAGATGCGAGCTCAATTACAGTAGCTTAATTTTATTTTCTTAATGACTGATTTGGTATATTTATTATACCAAATTTATTTGGTATATTTATTATACATTTTAGTGTATAGTAAAAAAATTATATACATTTAATTAAGAAGTAATACAGATGGTTATTATACTATCTTTAATTAGAATACACCACAGCATTTGGTCTAGAAGAATTCAAAGAATGTGTCAAAATGCCACATTTACCAGGATTGCAAAATTGCCAAAAAAGTGTAAGTTCCACTCCACTAGAGGTTCATAAAAGACTCCTGCATGCTGATACCGAGATGCCTCCTGTCAGGTAGGTCATTTCTTTTCGATTCTCTTTTGTTGAATATTTATTTATAGTAACACTGCTGAATGTAGAGGTTTTTCTGGCTAGTGAATCTAATTCTTTCTTGCCTACTATTTTTTGCATAAAGGATTTAATTTAAAAATATCTCAATTAGCGATTTTATTCAGTTTGACCAGTAGGTACTTTTTTCTGTTTTCAAGTGACATTGCCAGAAGGAATTTAAGGACTTACCTAAAAAAATCTTTATTGCTTTAGCATAGATTGCTCATGAGAATATTGGAATTTTTAGCAATATAAATAAATGAACTCTTTGCAATATTAACAGGTTTCTGTACCCTGAATAGAGAACCTTGTGTTTCATTTCTAGTTTGACTGAAGTGGTGTGAGGGGAGATCCTGAATGAGATGTCAGCCTAATGAAGACCTTGCATTGCTATCAGATGAAATGAATTTGTCAGCCAGAAAAGTCCCACTGACTTTGAATACTGGCATTTAAACACATTATGATAAAACACCTTTCCTACTATAAATCAGATTGCCTGACATAGCATTAAAAGAAAACTTCTTTCTCCAAAGGGACCTGTATGTTAGTAAGACAGTCTCATATCCTATTTGGTTTCTGCTTTGATTTATTTATTTATTCATCAATTATTTATTGAATGCCTAGTACTAATTCATTTTGCCAGCCTAAAAAAAGATGAAGCATTTACAGCAGTCTGAGTTGTAGCTCTCTTTAGGGGAGGATATATATTTTCATATTATCTCCTGCCATAGTGTGCTTTGAAGTCATCTAGTTATACATAGCACACACATATTGGAATTTCAGAATATATTTCTTGAGTTTTCCACTAGTATTATTGGTCTTGTTAATTACTCTGGAAACAAATTTTGGTAATATAAATAAAGAATTAGAATATACTGAAAATGAAAAGTTGTGGATAGTTTATATCTAAATTATGAAAATAAATAAGAACTTTGTAGAAAATTTGGGGAAAAAATAAAAATAATTATTTGATAATTTATCCATCCTAACATATCCATTTCTATTGTTGGAGGTTCTCTTCTACCCTCCTTCATTTTGGATTTTTATTGGAGTTGTGATTTTAGTGTACTTACAATTTTTTATTCTGCCCTTTTTTACTTAATATTACACGCATGCATTTTTTTCATGTTATGACATAATCTTCAAACAGTCTTTACTGGCCACATTATATTTCATTGTTAGAGCCATAGTTTATTTAATTTCCCTATTGTTGGACTTTCAAGTTGCTTTGACATTTTTTTGATTTTGCAGATAACACCATAATGAACAATAACATACATAAAACTTTTCCCATCTTTTTTTTTTTTTGGCAGTACGGGGGCCTCTCACTGTTGTGGTCTCTCCCGTTGCGGAGCACAGGCTCTGGACGCGCAGGCCCAGCGGCCATGGCTCACAGGCCCAGCCGCTCCGCGGCATGTGTGATCTTCCCGGACCTGGGCACGAACCCGTGTCCCCTGCATCAGCAGGCGGACTCTCAACCACTGCGCCACCAGGGAAGCCCCCCCTCATCATTTTTAATATCATTCGAGGACAGATTGTCAAGCTATAAAAATATAAAAAGCAAAATTACTCTTTCTGAAGTGAGGTTATGGTGAAATAAGGCAGAATCAGAGATGGTAGAAGAGAGATTGTGAGTTGCTAGTGGAGTAGATGGTAGCAGTTAAAGAGGAGGGATGGCAGGGATGTAGAAAGAAGAGACACCATTGGAAACATGAATATGAAACCTACTTAAGGGCAGTGAGTTTCCACTGTTACCAAGACACCTGTATCCCTGACACTCAGCTCACTCTTGACCTCTGGGCAAACGTATGTAGGGCTGCCTATGGCCATGGACTTGTCTCAGTACAGACCAGTCTTTCAATGCATATGATCATCTTAAAGAAACTGGAAACCCAGAAAGCACCAACAATTAACCCATTGGGCTTCTAGATTTTAAGTCTTCAATTTGCTTCCTTTTTCATCCGATTTCAGTTCATTATTTTTTTCGTTTGCAATTTGGCTGTTTGTGAAATGATCCCTTAACATTTTATATTGACTTGAGTGTGAATTTACTTAATTTAATGAAGAATAATGTGACTATATTATATTCGTGTTATGACAAGTGTTCTTCAGACACAAAGTGGGAGAGTGGTGGCTAAGTGTCACACTGCTTATGAACTGCTTGGCGAACGTAAATGTTGGTTCTTTTCCCTGTGTCTTTATTTTAGCCATTCTACTGAGAACATGTCGGGTTGCCTACAAGTATTTTATTCTCTGCATATTGAACAACGCCTTGTGAAAGAACAGTCTTGGCAAAGCAGGGAAGTACTAATTTTTGTCTATCTTGTATATAACCCCATATCCTTTTTTAAAAAAATCTCCATATGTGGATATTTGATTTAAAAACTCTGATAAAAGTTTAATGTGTTTTTAAATTTCTTAAATGATAAAATTTTTCAGTGAATCTCAAGGCATACTTTGGTAATATAACTGAAAATAGTCTTAGAGGTGAAGTGCATTTAAAAATTACAGCTATCCTGCGGTATGACAAACTGCCTCTAGCTGGCAGGCTAGCAGACCTGAAACGATGATTTATGAGTTTAATTCCCTTAAATTAATATTATGAAACTGAAGCAATATGACCTCTCAACTCACCAGTGTTATCTTTAAAAGTTCCATGCAGCCAATACACAAAGATATTTTTTCTGATATTGGACACTGTTTTAAAAAAATGGATGTTCTATGTTTTTTGAAGGACATAAAGCCCTTCACGCTAAGGAGATGAATCATAGAATTTCAGTTATCAGTCAGTAGGTGGAAGAGAATCTGAGGAGTGTCCGTAGGGACCACTAAAACCTTATCACATAACAATCATTAAGGCTGGTCTTGAGTTCCAAACCTCAGTGTGAATACTAGGTGGGCTCATCTTGACTGTACCCATATTTGACAACTAGGAAGTGTGATGTTGCCATGGTAATAAGTTGCTAGGATACCTCCAAGCAGCCATGTAAGCTGACTTCATTAAACTGTATCACATGGATTGAGAACTAATATATGTTTTGATTGAATAGAGAACAAAAAAAAAAAGTTATAGCTGACTTCTAAAGTTTAATGAAGTTATAAGAAATTTGGAATTCTTATGGGTTATCTCGCCCACAGCAGATTCAATCGTGACATATTTCCTCTAATAACCTACTCATTATCTAGATCTATTCCAATAGGAACAAAAGTTAATTATGACAAAACTCAGATTGTGGTAATTAATAGGTAAAAAGAGCACAAATAACTGATAATTGGTATCTGGCATATCTAGATACCCTGTTCATCTAATCTTGAGTCCCTTCCTCTAGCATTTCCTGAATCATGATTAGTGATAAGATAAAGGTGGGAAAAGTCAGACCTAACACTCATCCACTGGTAAAATTTATTAACAAAAATCGAGATACTGAGTTGGTTCATATCTGCTTCTGATTGGATTATTTGTGATAGAAGGAGTTTCCTTGATAGAAGGAGTTTCCTTTCTTTAACGTTTATTTAATTTTCATATGATGTCCTTCAACAAGTGAATTTCACTGAAAGCAAGCTTCTTATCTCTTACTGTATTTTAAAAAATTAATGTACCCTGGATTTATGTAAGAGTGAATTTATGATAATATATAATTTTAGGTTAAAGAAGACTAAGCCAACATGTACTGTGGCACCACTTCAGGAGAAATCAAAAGGTAGGCTGGATCATCTTTTTCTCCTACCACATGTCTTATTAACTCTTCCATACTTATCTTTTTTAAACTTCCTTTCTTTCCATTGACTTAATTGTCTTTGTTTTGTTAATGTTTCTTTTAAGCTTTGTTTATAAACTTAGTGGATGTTGTGTTCAATATATACATACCATTATTATCTCATGTGGGAGGATGGAGGGAACAAAAAGTGCCTACCGAACTGAGAAGGCATCTTGAGACCAAAAACCGAGGCAGGCAGCTCCATACAATCAATGGATCAGCTTATTATATGGTAACTTACTCACAGGATGGGATTGAGCGGACAGCCATCTGGAAACATGTGTAGTCACACTCCACACTGCCGAGGGGCCGTTGGGACAACTTTGTAGTTAACCTAGGGCATGGGGAGTGTGTGCTTGAAAACAGGAAGTGTGTTCCTAAGTCAAGATTTATGAATGGGTAACTACTCTCATGGACGCCAGGAATATGTCAGGGAGGTCTTCAGCATTGTTTGGAGGCTAACAGGGCATAGAGGTCACCTGGTCCTAATGATTATTAAGCAATATCTATTAACTACAAAGCCCTTAACAACAGAGAAGTGATTGCACAGTACAGCCCCGGGTAAGGTCAGTGGGAGGACAGGAGAAACTGTGTGGACCCAAGATGGCATCAGTTATGCTAACAGGCATACCTCTCAGGACCCTGGGATAGGCCCTCATCATCTCTCATGTGGACCGTTGCATAACCTGCAAAATGGTCTTGCTTTAGAGTTTCTGACCTTGGAAGTCCTTTAACACTACAACAAAAGCCTAAAACTTGGCCTCTAATCACATCACTCCCTTCTTCAAAAACAACTTGTTGGGCTTCCCTGGTGGCGCAGTGGTTGAGGGTCCGCCTGCCGATGCAGGGGATACGGGTTCGTGCCCCGGTCCGGGAAGATCCCACATGCCACAGAGCGGCTGGGCCCGTGAGCCATGGCCGCTGAGCCTGTGCGTCTGGAGCCTGTGCTCCGTGACGGGAGAGGCCACAACAGTGAGAGGCCCGCGTACCGCAAAAAACAGAAACAAAAACAAAAAAAACACAACTTGTTACTTACAGACTAAAGTATGAACTCCTTAGCTTGGCCTTGAACTCTTTACTGTCTTCCCGTAACTTTCCTTTCTAGCCTTATCTTCTAATTAATTTTTTCATGAACCTGTGTACCTATAACATCCGACTACAAAAACCTATCTATATGCCAACAGTTTAGGTTACATAAAACTACTCCATGGTGACTAAGAGACTTTACAGCACCAAGGAGCATTTCCACCTATTTGGAGTATGAGTTTGTCCTTTGAAGCTTTAAAATCAGACATTCTCACTTCCACCTTTCTGATACATTTAATCAGAATTGTGTTTTTCAAAAACAGACACTGTTGAGTCAGTTAGTTACACTTTTAATGATGCCTACAAGATTTTGGAGAATTTCCTGGCAGCTCTGGTATCTACACTTACTGCCTCATTCCTTGCTTCACGTGTTACAGATTCATGGGGCAACATACTAAAGGAGCCATTTATGGCATATGACACAGTGCATATGTCTAGCATTTATGTTCTCCAATATATTCTTAGCCATTTCCTGAAGTGATTTTACCCAAAGTCAGTGGTGAAGATTCTTGAGCTGTACAGTCAAAACATTTTTCATTTTGTCATTATATTTTCTTGCCTTCTGTTGATTATTATCTAAATAGGATTTTTCAACAGTGACAGTATTAACATTTTGGACTGGATAATTCTGCTGTGGGGGTCTGTCCTGTGCATTGTAGGATGTTTAACAGCATCCATGACCTTTACTCACTAGATGCCACTAGGACCTCCCAAGGTGTGGTAACCAAAAATGTCTCCAGGTGTTGCCCAATGTCTTTGGGGTGGCAAAATCACCCTCAACTGAGAACCACTGTTTTAAGCATTACACCTTTAACATTACATGTTACCTGTTACTTGTCCTTCAGACTATCAGGTGTTTCATTCTTCACCTGTGCACAACAGTTATTTCCTTACCAGCATAACATGTTTTAAACCTTACTTATTTTTAATTTTTGTCATAATCATAGTTGTCTTCTTATAGTGCATTCATCACTTCCATGGTTTTGCACTTATGGAGTAATGGAGTTAATAGAGCACCTCCAAACAAACAACAAAAATGAAAATTACTAAGCAAGACTTATATTGAGATTGTCAGTGGCAGTCAGATTGATCTGTTAGCAGCTTTGTAAGTTTAGCCCGTGGAAGTTCATAAACTTCTTGGATATTTCCCTTATCTGAATTTCCATCAGCTATAAACAACTTCTGTAATCAACAGGTAACATGAAATAAAAATATAAATGTTAATTAGAACAAAAGACGTTTGTTTTGCATCTTGGCCCAAATGAATATTTGCCTGCCTATTTTCCAGTAGGCCAACTTTATGGTTCTTCTGGGCTGGGTACTATGTCTTATTCACTTTTGTATCTCTGTGGTGCCTGTACCAATCCTACAACATATGGAGTCTTCAGTAAATATCAATACTTGTTGCTTTTCCTTCAGAGTCATATAAGAAGGCAGTTCATTCATTCATTCACCAAACATGAATTTAGCATCTACTCTGTGCCATTCATTGTTCTAGTTCTTAGGCTTAGAGTACGTCTCTCAACAAAACAAAGATCCCTGCCCTTGTGGAGCTTACATTCTAGTGAGAGAATACAGCCAACAAACATTAAATATAATAAACAAATCCATCACACAGTATATTAAAATACATACTATTTTTTTAAACTTATTTTTAAATTTTTTATTTTATTTTATTTTTATTATTTCTGGTTGTGTTGGGTCTTCGTTCCTGTGCGCAGGCTTTCTCCACTTGCGATGAGTGGGGAGCTACTCTTCGTTGCAGTGCATGGGCTTCTCATTGCAGTGGCTTCTCTTGTTGAGGAGCACGGGCTCTAGGTGCATGGGCTTCAGTAGTTGCAGCATGCAGGCTCAGTAGTTGTGGCTCGCGGGCTCTAGAGCGCAGGCTCAGTAATTGTGGCACATGGGCTTAGTTGCTCCACGGCATGTGGGATCTTCCCGGACCAGGGACCGAACCCATGTCCCCTGCATTGGCAGGCGGATCCTTAAACACTGTGCCACCAGGGAAGGCCCAATACATAGTATTTTAAAAGGTGGAAGTGCAGTAGAAACAACAACAAAAAATAGAACAGGGTAAGGTAGATCAGGAGATCTGGGGAGAGAAGGATGATTTACAATTTTAAATAGGGTGGTTGGCAGTAATATTTGGGCAAAGATTTGAAAGAGGTGAGGGAGTTAAACTCTGGGAAAATGTTATTCTCTTGGGGCCAGCAAAGGTCCCAAGGTGGGATGGTACCTGACCTGTTGGAAAAAAACATCAGGAGTCAAGTATGGCTAATCTCAGAGGGTGGAAGATGAGGTAAGAGAGGTAATGGAGTATCTGACCTTGTGGGGCCCTGAAAGGGACTTTATATTTAACTTTGATTGAAATGAGGAGCCATTACATGATTTTAACAGAAGAATGATTTTAATGTGATCTGATTTAAATTTTGAAAGGATCATGTGGTCACACCTTTCAAAAAAATGGCCCAGAGAACTTCTATCTCTGATTATGATGGAATAACTTATATCAGACCAACTTTACTACCAAGAATTCGCATAAGAGCTAATCATAAAAAATAATTTAGGGCTTCCCTGGTGGTGCAGTGGTTGAGAGTCCGCCTGCCGATGCAGGGGATGCGGGTTCATGCCCTGGTCCGGGAGGATCCCACATGCCGCGGAGCGGCTGGGCCCACGAGCCATGGCCGCTGAGCCTGTGCGTCCGGAGCCTGTGCTCCGCAGCGGGAGAGGCCACAACAGTGAGAGACCCGCGTACTGCAAAAAATAAATAAATAAATAAAAATAATAATTTAAATATATTTTATGATATATAAAATAAGTATAAAAGTAATATATTACATATATATTAATATACAGTAAAAACATTTTTTAAAAAATATAAAGTAATAAAAGTATTTAAAAAACAATGTTTTAAGTTGTCAAGAGCAATCATTTCCAACTCAAAAGGCTGAGATTCTGAAGGAATAACTGCAGAGAACTGAGCCCGAATATCTGTGAGCAAATTCCCCAACAGGTGTTTGCCTGTTTCTAAGTGACATGTATGCTGGGTAATATTTTAGGACATGAAGCAGAAAATAGCTTCTTGGAGGCTAAAGGACTGAGCAGAGATTTCAGTAACTTAGCATTTGCTGGGGAGACAGAGGTGGGAGTTGAAGGGAGTTTAAGGCTTGCCAAGATGGAAAGCCCTTGGCAAAGACAAGCTTTCAGTTGAAACTGTTGAAGAGCTACACGCTGTAATAACGGCATACAATAGACTAGCTTTTAAAAAAGTCTAAAACCCCATTTTTTTTGACATTTGGCATGCTATTTATTTCATCTTTAGCTCATCCTTTTACACTTTCTATTTATTGTGTTAAAACCCAGTTTTGACTGGATTAAAGTGATATGCCTACCAGAAGAAAATTAAATTTTTTTTGGAAAACTATAAGGTAAACCAGAGCCTTACAGGTTTGTGTACACAGTCTCAAGCATTCAATCGAAACTTACCAGACATTAAAAGAAATATACCTTGGACTTCCCTGGTGGCGTGGGGGTTAAGAATCCATCTGCCAGTGTGGGAGACACGGGTTTGAGCCCTGGTCTGGGAAGATCCCACATGCCGCAAAGCCACTAAGCCCGTGTACCACAAATATTGAGCCTGCATGCCACAATTACTGAAGCCTGCGCACCTAGAGCCTGTGCTCCACAACAGGAGAAGCCACTGAAATGAGAAGGCTACACACCGCAACGAAGAGCAGCCACCACTCGCCACAACTAGAGAAAGCCCACATGCAGCAATGAAGACCCAATGCAGCCATAAATAAGTAAATAAATAAATAAATTTTAAAAAGTACAACTTATCAGGCATAAAAGAATGACAAAAACCAAGAGAAGAAACAGACAATATCAGCAGACCTACAAAAGATCCAAATAGACATTATTTGACAGGGATTTAAAAAACTATATTTAATATATTCAAGATAATAGAGAAAATGATGAAAAATTATATCAGAGAATTAGAATCTATAAAAAATAAATAGAAATTATTGAGCTGAAAAATACAATAATAGATTAGATTTAACAGATGATAGGGCATGGGCAACAAAAGCAAAATAAACAAGTTGGGTATATCAAACCTACAGGCTTTTGCACAGCAAAAGGAAACAATTAACAAAATGAAAAGGCAGCATATGGAATGGGAGAAAATATTTGCAAACCATATATTTTATAAGGAGTTAGTATCCAAAATATATAAGGAACTCCTACAACTCAATAGCAGAAAAGCAAATAACCCAATTTAAAAGTGGGCAAAGGACCTAAGTAGACATTTTTCCAAAGAAAACATACAAATGGTAGTAGATACAGGAAAAGATGCATAACATCACTTGTCATCAGGGAAATGCAAATTAAAATGTAGAAAATAAAAGGAAGAAATAATAAAGAGCAGAAATCAATGAAGTAGAAAACAAATATTCAGTAGAGAAAATCAACAGAGCCAAAAGTTAGTTTTTTGAAAATGTGAATAAAATTGATAAATGTGTAGCAAGTCTGACGAGAGAGAGACAGAGAGAAAGAGACAGAGAGAGAGAGAAATTACCAATATTATATAAGAAAAGAGAAAACACAACTTAGAATTGACACAGAATTGACACTGGTGAATTCTTCCAACGTTAAAAAAAAAAAAAAACTATGTTACGTAAATTATTCCAGAAAATAGGAAAAGAGGGAACACTTAAAGACCCATTTTATGAGGTCTCTAACCTTGATTCTAAAACCTAGCTTTGACATTATAAGAAAGTAAAATTATAGACCAATTTTTCCTATAAAATAGAAGTAAAAATTCTAAACAAGACACTACCAATTCAAATTCAGAGATATATAAGAAGGATAATGCAACACAATCATATCAGATTTACCTAAGACATGCGAGATTGATTTAACGTTAGAAAAGCAATCGGTGTCATTCATCTTATTAATAGAATAAAGGAGAAATCTCATATGTTCACTTTAATAATTGCAAAAGATATTTTAATGAAATTCTATATTCATGATTAAAAATATTTTTAGCAAACTGAGAAGGGAACTTTCCTAATTTGATACAGATTATCTTTTTTTAAACTCCTACAGTAAACAGTATACTCTTAAACAATTAATGGGTTAAAGAAGAAATCACAAGGGAATTTAGAAAATATCTGGGGACAAATGAAAACAGAAATATAACATACCTATAGATTGCAGCAAAAGCAGTGCTAAGAGGGAAATTTATGGTAAACACATAAAAAAAGGAAAAAGATTTTGAATGAACAACATAAACTTATACCTCAAGGAACTAGAAAAGGAAGAATAAACTAAGCCCAAACTTACAAGAAGGAAGGAAATAATAAGATTAGAGAAGAGATAAATGAAATAGAGAACAGAAAACAAATCAACAGAAAGAAGATTTAGTTTTTAGAAAAGATCAGCAAAGTTGACAAATCCTTGGTTAGACTAAGAAAAAAAGCAGAGAAGACTCAAATAGCTAAAATTGGGAATGAAAGAGGAGACATTATAACTGATCACAGAAATAAAAAGGATTATAAGAGGCTACTGTGAACAATTATATGTCAACAAATTGGGTAACCTAGAAAAAAATGGATAAATGTATAGAAATATACAACCTACCAAGATTAAATCATGAACAAATAAAAAACTGAACAGACCTATAACTAATGAGGAGATTGAAGCAGTTATCAAAAACATCCCAACAAAAACAAAAAAGCCCAGAAATCTAGGGTAAGAGGATTATAATTTAAAGATGACCACAAACTTGCACATTTGCTCATATCTTATTGGTTCATACTTATTAACAAAGCTCTACTTAGCTCTGAAGCAAGCTGAGAAATGTAATCTCTACCTGGATGATCTTGCGCTCAGTAAAATCCTGTTTTGGAAGAAGGAGTAAAAAGTTTTGAAAAGATCATTAGTAGTCTGCCATAATTCTTTTTATTTTTGCGGTACTCAGGTCTCTCACTGTTGTGGCCTCTCCCGTTGCGGAGCACAGGCTCCGGATGCGCAGGCTCAGCGGCCATGGCTCACGAGCCCAGCCGCTCCGCGGCATGTGGGATCCTCCCAGACCAGGGCATGAACCCGTGTCCCCTGCATCGGCAGGCGGACTCTCAACCACTGCGCCACCAGGGAAGCCCCATAATTCTTTTATAATTAAAATTTCTAACATTCTATTACAGATATTTGGAAATATAGTTAATTTTTGCAATTTGATCCACATTGCTAAAGTCCCTTATTATTTCTTGATATATATTATACATTTTATACTGTGTATACATACATATTATATATGATACATATAAATTTTTGAGTTCTCTACATAGATTATCATAATCATATGTGAATAATGTCAGTGTTATTCTTTCTTTCCAAATCCTATGCCTTTATTTTCTGATTTTTCTAAGCTGGCTAGAACCACCAATACAATAGTGAAGAGAAATGAAAAGTCGGCATCTTTGACTTGTTTCTGATTTTAAAGGAAATGCTTTTAATGTCTTCTCATAAAGAATGATGTTTGATGTATGTTTTGGGTAGATATCCTTTATCAAGGTAAAGAAGTTCCCTTTGACTTCAATTTGCTAAGAGTTTTGTTTTTTGTTTGTTTTGTTTTGTTTTTTGTTTTTTGTTTTTTTTAAATATAAATGAAAGTTTAATTTTATCAAACATTTTTCTGAATGTGATTTTCTGTTTAATTTTTTAAAATAAATTTCTCATATTTTAAAAAATATTTATTTGGCTGTGCAGGGTCTTAGTTGCAGCATGCAGGATCTTTTTAGTTGTGGCATGCGAACTCTTAGCTGCAGCATGTGGGCTCTAGTTCCCTGACCAGGGATCGAATCCAGTCCCCCTGCATTGGGAGCGCGGAGTCTTAGCCACTGGACCACCAGGAAAGTCCCCTGTTTAATTTTCTAATGTGGACAATAACATTTGTAGATTTTGTAATGTTAAGCCACTCTTACATTCCTTGGATACCCCCATTGAAGGCATGATGTATTATCTTTTTTTGTGTACTGCCATATTTAATATGCTCATATTGTATTGGGTTTTAAAATCTATGTTGATGAGTGAGCTTACCACTAATTTTCCTTTCTGTCCTCTCCTTATCTGGATTCAGTGTCAAGACTGTAATGGCCTCATGGAATGAACTGGGGAGTATTCTGCTTTTTCTATTCTCTGAAGGATATGACCTAAAATTGGAATGATCTCTCCCTTGAAAGTCTGATAGAGTTCATTTGTAAAATCATTTGGATCACTTGTTTTCTTTGGAGGAATCTTTTAATGTTAATTCAGTTATTTTAATTTTAGGACTCTTAAGGCATTCTAATTCTCCTTCCATCAATTTTGGTAAGTTATATCTTCTAGAATATTTTACATTTTGTCTAAGTTTTCAAATTTATTGGCATAAAGTTTAGTCTTTGCTCTACCTATACTTCTCCTCATATTATTTATTTGGGCCTTTTGTCTTTTTTTAAATTAATCTAACTGGAAGTTTTCCTTTATTAATAGTCTTTTCAGTGAAGAACTCTTATCTTTTAAAAAAATCTTTCTAATTGTAAGTTTGTTTTCTACTTCATTGATTTCTCCTCTTTCCTGTATTGTCTTCCATGTTCTTTGGGTTATTCTTTTCCTAACGTATATCTTATACCTAGCTTACTAATTTTCAGTCTTCTTTTCTAACACAGGAATTTTAGGGTATAAACCCCTCTATGTTCAACTTTTGTTGCATCACACAAGTTTTGTAATATTTTCTTTATCATTTAGTTACAAGTATTTTTAATGTTTATTACAATTTCTTTTTTTGATGGATGAATAATTTAGAATGTGTGTATACATTTCTAAATATTTGAGAATTTTAAGACTTATTATTAACAACTTCCAACTTAATTGTATTGGTCTGTATGATACCAATTCTTTAAAGTTTTTTGAGGTTTGCTTAATGCTTAGAATCTAGTTATTTTGTAGCCAGAAAGTCTAAGTGTCAAGTCCATCTTACTGCTAAGAACTGGAATCCTGATCGATTCTTCCCTTCTACTCTCTGCCTGAAATTCCCACTCTCATTACACACCCAAATAAAACAAAACAAACAAAAATACCAACCACATTGGAGAATTGAGGTCAATTTTTATTTTTGGCACTTGAAACTGAAGTTAAACAATAGTATTTTAAAGCAATATGGATCAGTGTATTATTTTCAAAGCCTTGTACGCTTCTAAATAAAAGTATTTATACATATTACATATTTAGGGCAATATTTGTGATTACATGGGAACTCCGAATTGATGCATCTGGGTTTAAATCCTGCCTCTAACAATGTCTAAACTCTTTTTTAAATCTGTGATCCAAGATAGTACTAGTTACCTACTTCATAGTACTGTTGTGTGGTTGTATAGATGAAAAATACTTGAAATAGAGAGATCATTCAATACTTGTTATCTGTTATTATTGTTATTACTATCCTTCAAAATAGAAGCTTGATTAACGCTGTTTCAGTTAGTGAGTGACTTATTTTGCTTTATAATTTTACTCTTTCACCTCAACGTTTATGAGAAATCATTTTGTTTGGAGACAGTAACTTGATAAGCATGTAAGGTATGAAATGAGTCATTTATGGAGATCATGCCTTTTATTTTGGAATAAATTCCACAGCCATCCCATGTTTTAAGAAGCACATGACAGACTCAGAGTTAGTTTTATATTATTAAATATAAACATTAAGCATTTTTTAGTTAAATATTTTTTGGGATGACTTGCCATCCCAGTCACTTTAGAAAGTTAAGTAGCTTTCATTTCTACTTCAGAGCATGTGTTATATGAAGAGCTAGTGGTGTTTAATGGTGATTTGAGGAACAGATACTTGGTGTATGCTCTTTTAGAGAATATCATTCATGTGTGCTTAATTTAATTGTAATAACAGTTTTGGGTTTTTTTCTTTACAGGTTCTGGCTTCAGCGATCCTCTCACTGGAGCACCATCTCAGTACTTACAGAGACTTTCTAAAATGGCCATTTTGGAGTATGATACCATTCGTCAAGAAACAACCAGAAAATTTAAAAAGAGCAAGAAACAAGAGCTTTGAGACTGCTGATTATCCTTTCGTGTGATGCTTTCTTCACTGGCTTCTAAGGTTTGTCTTTTTCCTTTCATTTCCTTTTTTCGATATATGATATGATGTGCAATGATTTACATACAATGGAAATGTAAATAGGAAACAAATATTTTCTGTTATATACGGCATATGTTGTATTTTGTTAAACTTACAGACATTTAAGTTATTATTTATACAGTTTATATATGGGGACATAAGCCTAAGAAAAATTATATTCTATGAATTTTATGCACATTAGTTATATCTTTTGATTCAATTTGATAAATGTTTTTTGAGTATCTGCACAATGACGTTTGCTAGGAGCTGCAGAAGATTCAAGAATGAGTCCTCACTGTTAGGGTTAGAAGGCTCCCCATGAGAACCCCTTCTTTTCCCTGCTCGAGCTTGAAAGCAGTTGTGAGATAAGTATTCAAGCAGATGAAAATGAAAATATTAGTTTTGTTTGCTGATAAAACCTGGAAGGGAAATCCTGGCTTAGATGTGTGGCAACAGTGGGTTTCCTAACACTGAACTTCAGAATTGGGCAAATGTACACACTCAGATATTGCTCACCTCAGGCTCACCTGCTGAATTGGGCCTTTACTACCAAGCAGAACAAGGCATCTCTACTGCGTAGACAGGTGGATCCCTGAGGGGAAAGTGGGTGGGAAGAGAGACTCGCTCAGTCTCTAGGGGAGGAGGAAGAAGGCCTAGGTCAAGAGGAAAAACCCCTCCTCAAGAAAGCCTGAGGTGTTGGTCAATGCAAGTCCCTGAAAAACAGGGAGAAATCAAGGATACCAATGGCCGATCCAGCAGAGAATGAGAAATGGGCCATAAGAGAACAACACAGTGTTAACAGAGGAACGAAAATGAGGCAGTAATGTCCAACAGGGAGGTAGAGAAAGCTTCATGGAGGATGCAGTGTTAGAAATGGGCCTTAAAGACATGAAAGATGGAGGGAGAAGGCATTTCTAGAAAGATGGAATAACATAGCAAGGACATACTATGCATTTGGGGATGATATACTTGGCTGGAGCACTAGGTGGTATAGGGCAAACTTCGTCAATTCATGTGCCTACAGACACCAAGCCAGTAGCACATTGAATGATACCAATCAGATGAAGGCTGTGGTGACCTGGGTCATGTTTCTTCATTCATCAACAGGCACTCACTGCCTAGTTTCAGCCCTCTTGTCGTGTGGGAATGTGGACCCAAAGTTGCCAGATATTCTAACTTTTCATGAGAAGCCAGAATCTGGATTTTTGTGAAATCTTCCAATGTGTAAATATTAGCAACTAATTCAAAATAAGCAACTTATAATTAAAAATTTATAAAGCCATTGTGCAAGCCAAAGAAAATTACATGGGCAAGCCAGATCTGGCTTTGTGGGGCTATTTATTTAAATTTGTTTGTTTATTTATTTATTTATTTTGGGCTGTGCTGGGTCTTCACTGCACGTGGGCTTTCTCTAGTTGCAGCAAGTGGGGGCTACTCTTCGTTGCAGTGCACGGGCTTTTCATTGTGGTGGCTTCTCTTGTTGCAGAGCATGGGCTCTAGGCGCGTGGGCTTCAGTAGTTGCGGCACATGGGCTCAGTAGTTGTGGCACATGGGCTTAGTTGCTCCGCGGCATGTGAAATCTTCCCGGACCAGGGCTTGGACCCGTGTCCCCTGCATTGACAGGCAGATTCTTAACCACTGTGCCACCAGGGAAGTCCCTGTGGGGTCATTTATTTATGCATCCTCAGGATTAAAGGACTAGAGGGCGATAGGGCTCAAAGCATAACTTGATCACATCTGGTAGAGAACCTTCAGATGCCAAGCATGAGTCTATATTTCCTCTGTTTCACAATGGAAGATTTTGACAATGAAAGTAAATTATTGCTTTTGTGATTTAGGAAGATTCACCCAGGTTCAATTTGTAGGCTAGATTGTAGTGGGAGGAGACTGGAGATAGGGAAACCAGTCAGGAGGTTTTTATAAAAATTGAGGTAAGAATCTCTCAGTAGAAAGGTAGAAATAGGAATCGGAAGGACAGATTAAGATAATTAGGACATCAAGGCAAAGGACTTAAGATCCTTTGATATAGGCTATCAGGAGAGGAAGGATCAAAACCAGCTTATTTCTGGTCTTAGACATAAGATTCTCAGGAGATGCTAGTTTGGGGGAAAATGAGGATGAATGCAACTTTGGGTATATTCAGTTTAATGTGCCATCAGGACATCCACAGAGAGATGCCAAGCAGGTAGTTGAAAGCAGATGTGTAGTTCCAGAAAAAGATACTGACTGGAGTTAAAACTTTGAGAAACATTTGCATAACCCAGGCTGTGTTTTCCCCAATAAAAGAGGAGAGAGAGAAAAGAACCCAGATTTATAAGGGATGAGAGGAAATAGGTAGAAGACAAATGAAGAAGGAGAAGGAGAAGGAAGAGAAGAAGAAGAAGGAGAAGAAGAAAAATAAACTATCACAGATGTAGGAGGATGAACATATTCTATGTCCTTGCATGCTCTATATTAATGTATAAAATACACTATTAATGTGTGTTTATATGCATTACATGATGCATTAGTTTCTAGGGAAATAACCAAGTAAACTTAAGTGGATGTGTTTTTGCCTACATCTGAATTTTGACTGAGAATGATTTAGATATTACCTGTACCTTTTCTATGTTCTGACCACCTCCTCCAAGTGTGGCCAATGATTTAAGAAATGAGAAGCAGGAGAAAAGGTTTTCTCAAACAAAAATTTGATGAACTTTTAAAAAAATTTATTTTATTAAAGTATAGTTGATTTACAGTGTTGTGTTAATTTCTACTGTACAGCAAAGTGATTTAGTTATGCATATATATACATTCTAAGAACACAGTACAATTTATGTCAGAGAATATTTTGTGGATAGGCACTTCTAAACACCTTTGATTATCAGATGGATTTCATTTATTGAGCTCCTACATGTACTCTAAACATTTAATATTTTTGTAAACCTTATGAAAACCCTAAAAAGTAGGTAGGTGACATTATTCCTAGTTTATAAAATAAGTAGATCGAGGATTGTTTTATACTTTGTCTCCAGCTAGAAATAGGAGAACTAGAATTCTAACCTACTAGGATTTAAAGCCCATATACATAAAATCAGTAGAATAATAATTGTTTTAAAACGTAAACTTAGTTGATACAGCATGGTTTAATTACTTAAAATTTAGAGCAAGATAGTAAATACTTGCACAGAAAAAAATATCTCCTAGTATTGAGTTGAGTTCCTGACTTATGACACTAACACATCTTGGAGCATTTATACCAGTAGAGTAGAAAGACCCCTCCCCCATCTCCCCTATGAAAGAGTTCAACTGAAGCCAATTCAAGAAAGGAGTGGAATGTTTATTTCTTTTTAATAAGTGAGATATGCTAACGATAATTAATCATCTTGGGATTGAATTTAACATGTTTTTCATTAAATCGTAAAAAAAAAACAACACAGGCTCTACTTCCTTACATTGCATTTACTCTTTTTGTTCCTCATGAACTTTTTAGAAAAACCAACATGTATTTGGTACTCAGAAGGCTCAAATCATCCCCAGTTGAGCACACCCAAGATTTAGACATAAGGATAAGATGCCAACTTCTGATATTGTAGCTACCATGGATGTTAATTTTATGCTTGGGATGAAGACAATGTTGCCAGCATGACCCTTTTGCATTTGTGATTTGGAAATTCCTCCAGTGTAAGCAATATCAGTCACAATTTGGGGAAACTAGACCTTACGATAAATATTTAGGATGGGAGAATAGAGTGCTGATTTTAGGATGAGAAAACAGTTCTTTACAAAAAGTGATTACTTCAGTGAAGGACAAACCATTAGTCAATGATAGTTCCGAAGACATTTCCTGAGAAGACATTGTTCATCAAGCAACATTTTAATATGTAATTTAGACTCCTGAGTACATATGGTCACCATGAATCAGATGCCATGTCTTAGATTAAGGAATGGGTATGTTAATTAATATCTTGTGATTCTGATTCACAGTCTCTGTGAGTTTGGTTGATGTGAATTGGTACACAGATCCTGATCATCCTGGGCAAATTAATGAAATGAGGGTTTGTTTTTTTTTTACTAGAAAAATAAATTTAGTATTTTTGGAAAAATAGTATACATTTTTAGGAATGTCAGCAATGTAGAAAAGTACAAATAAAAAGTTTACAAAACACTTCAAATCTCACCCACTCGTAAATAACATCAGGTAAACATCTTTCTCTGCATATATGCAGATAGATACAGAAATACCTGTATTAAAACGGATCATTCTGTGCCTCCTATGTTTAAATAAAGTTAATTTTACTCTTGTAAAAGAAATAAGTGAAACTGAAGTCCTTGCTAAAATCCAAATGTTATTAATTTTAAAATATTTTATAATATAGGTCTAGATCTTCTTTCCTAAAAGAGATTTTTTTTTTTTCCCTAAAATATTCCTCTTCGAGAAACTTCTGGTTCTGGTCGAAAACATTTGTCAACTTAGAAAAACCTACCTAGTCGTCTAAAGATGAGTTTAAAAAGTTTCCAGATACTGCCTTTGTTGCAAGGGAAACTTAAGCATAAGTACTACACAGAGACCTTGGAACTTGAACCGCATTCTCCACTAGGGTTGGTCTCTGTTTCACTTAGTCACTCACACTTATAAAGGGTCTTCTATGGGACAATAAGTCACCGCACCCAAAGATAATTAACCCCTTTGCAGAACCAGCAAATCTTTATAACATTCATAAAGTGAACAAAATGTTGAGAGAGACAGAGAGAGAGAGATTCTTCTGTAAGGTTTTTCAAAGTTAAGCGTGCATCCAGATCTGGAGAGCTTGTTAAAATACAGATTCTTATAGGTCTGGGGTGGGTCTGAGAATTTGCATTTCTAACAAGCTCCCAGGTGATGCTGATGCTCTGATCCACGGATCACACTTTGAGTAGCCTGCCTGAGAATCACCTGCACTTAGAGTTACCTGGTGCATTTTTGAGACACACCATAGTCCAGGCTCTACTCCCAGGGAATC